GATTACAATTAAAAAAAGAAGGGGAGGAAGGATGCAGGGAAGGTGGGGGATCTTAATGCATCAACCACTCCTGAAATCCAGGAAAAGCTTCCTTAGCTCGACAGAAGACTTTGAAGAATTCGAAAGCAGAGAGGATCCATGGAAAGCTACAAAGAACACAACTCTGGATGGAACCAACGGAGGAGCCGGCATCTGGATCTGACGAAAGCTGGGAAGTATGGAAATTGTTGAATAGACTGCACACGGGTACAAGATCCAGAACAAATGGGGTTATCCGGTGGCTTCTGCTCTTTGAGATTGTGCTGACATGCAGACAACAACACATATGCATGCATGCCTTTTGTGACCCCATCAGTGTACATTTGAGGACCTCATGGCTGTGTGACAGAACACAATTCATGTTGTTATTTTCTGGGGAAGATCTGCTTAATATGTACATATTTTAATCTTGTATTTTATGTTTTAAGTTTTATGTCGTGTAGTATGCCTTGTTTTAATTGTGATGCTTCTGACGCAAATAAACCACCCCTTATTTACATGTTTGGAGCTTGTTGCTGCTGTCCCTTTGAGGCTGAAAGATGGGTTGGTTTAAACACAAATCACAATTTCCCTCTCCATTCTCGTTTTTCCTGAATTTTAAACCATTGGCTTATTTCTTTGTTGCGTTAATATGTCCAAAGCATTTTGAAGCAGTGCTGGAGGCAACCTGGCTTCACACCAAAGAAATCACAAGCTCTCCTAAGAAATTACAATCCACTAGGTCAATGTAATCATTTCCCTAAAGAATAAAATTCTAATTCTGTGCCTCCTGGCTTTGTGTTTTAAGAAACCTTTCACCCGCTTTCAACTTTTTTTTTTTTTTTGGCTATTATCCCGCATTGCAAATGATGCTTTCCTCCCAAGAAAGTTTGCTTTATGAATTTAATCAAGCTTCTTTGAACAGCTTCAAAGGAAGGCCACATCTAAAGGGAAGAGAGAAGGATTCTGTTTTTCGGATGGTGATAATTGTGGATCAGCACTAAAGCGGAAAGATAGACAGATGCACGTAGATTGTTCTGCATCACTTTATTTTATTATTGATCGCATGGCCACAGGATAACGGAGTGACTAACTGATGATTAAGAAGATAAAAATAATTCCATTTGTAAAGCACCAAGATCCAAGTTCAATCTCTCAAACTGATTAGATAAATATTTCTGGAAGAAGGAAATTACTAAGGTTGAATGCCTATAGGGAAATAAAGTTCAACTGTCAGTACTATCAGTACGTGTGTGTGTGTGTGTGTGTGTGTGTGTGTGTGTGTGTGTGAGAGAGAGAGAGAGAGAGAGAGAGAGAGAGAGAGAGATCCTGAAGATCACAAAATGAATTAATTCATCCATGGGAATTGGTTCGCTGGAAAAAGCATCTAGCCAGTAAGAGACATAGTACATTTTCCCTGCAGTATCAGTGCTAAAAGCTTTCATGCTACAATTATGATTGAATAATCAGCAGGCCCAGCAATATCTAAAGAACTTGGTCAGTTACCATCATATTTTTTTAAAAAAAATTGGATGAGAGGCGCATTTGTAGATATTTAAATGGGGTTGATAAAAGTGATTTAGAATATCTTGCGTGCTTTTATTAATACTGAAAAATATCCCTTTTTTGAGTAATTTCTTTTTTTAAAAAAAACAAATTTTACTGGTTTTCCAGTTTTACATTTAAGTATTTGGAAAGCAGCGTGGTGACTGGGTAATCAGTGGTTCAATAACAAAATCTTTAGTATATATCTCAGGTTACGTCATCAAAAATTCCTTCTCTATTTCCCTTAACATTTGCTATATCATATTTAGGCTAGTAAATTTCTAATTATAACAAACTTAGTTAAAACATTTATCAATATATTTTTTGCTTATACCTATCCATGTCCTGTTTTTAAGTTTTACCTAATTTTTAATTACAATATTCCAATTTAACCTTTAATATCCATAGTATTTAAGTTTTGGGTAATCCAAATTTCCTTTATTTCACTACATAAAAGTTATCATATCTAGAATTCACATATTACTTACTTAAATATATTCTTATCTTATTTCATAAACATGTTCTATTTCTCATCCTAATACATCACTTACTAATAGAGTATCCTTTATTGTCTCAAGTCCATCATCTGTATATTATCTGGGCTAAACAATAGTTCAAAGCTAATTCCTAATAGTTTTCATTTCCCTTATAAATCTAAATCCTAAATATTAAGCCTATTAAGCCCTTATTTTTTATCATTCTTTTAACAGTAATATTTAAGTCCAATAATCATATTTCCCTTCATCTGAAAATCTCCCTTTAGCCCACTAGTTGAGATTTTAGGATCCTTTATCATAAATCAAAAGATCCCATTGTTTAAAAATCTAACTCTAGTTTTCTTTTTGTGCCAACCAGGCTTCCATATCAATGCCTTCAAATCATCAGATGGATCTCCCTTCATTCTTGTACATATTACTTGAACCAAGGGAGACTATCTAGTTATCAATTTTCCAGAGAGGCTGGCCCATTTGTAGTCATTAAATTGTTGTCCTGGTGGCTCCTTCAATTCAGTTTCATCTTCTTGTTCCTAAGGTTTCTTCTGGTTTAGATGGAAAGTCACGTCCAGTTTTATGGTTATTATTTGATCGTCTAGGTCAGACATGTCAAACACAAGGCCCGGGGGCCAGATGTGGCCCGTGAAGTGGTTTCATGTGGCCCGCGAAGCCATCCTGGAAACAGTGAGGGAATGGCCCATGCTGCCTTGGCCCTGGCCCAGGCCAGCCAGAAACCAATGTACAATTTTGTGGTGGCCATCTTGGCACTTGCCCTAGTGAACCATGCCTTGGCACTTGCCCCAGTCCCACCCCCTTCTGCCGGAGACCCTCAAATCTGTCCCACTCCTGCCCAGGCCCCCATAGGCACCCTTGACGCGAATGATGTAGAACTGGCCACGCCCACCCAGTAGGCTGCACCCACTCTGGTCACACACACACCCCCCCAGGGCAACGGCAATGCTGATGCGGCCCTCAGTGAAATTGAGTTTGCACCCCTGGTCTAGGTTTTCAATATTCTGTACTTGTTGATCTTTAACAGCCTCCATCTTGGTGTTGCTTTGTTCCACTTCTGTTGCTTTTGGGGTTGTAGATTCTTTAATTGCGATCAGGGTTTGTATGTCAAAATTTTCAGTAGATTGTATTTGTTGATCTTTAAAGTCCTCTGTCTTGATATTAATTTCTTCCACTTCTGTTGGTTTTTGGATTGTAGGTTCTTTTGTTGAAATCAGATTTTCATTTTGTAGGTTTAAGCTGGAGCCTTTGTCTTTCAGTCTGGATTTAATTATCTCAGTAGCTTCAATAATTTTTTCAAGTATAAGTTTATAATTTGTTATAAACCTGTTGCTGGTCTTCCTCCATTTCTAACATAGTTATAGATAGTCCTTTAGTGAAGACTATTTCTTATATGAAAATCAGTAAATGTTCACCCCCATAGTTCCTAAAAACCAATTTCACTGTCCAGTTGTTCTCCCAGCTTATTATCTCTTTTAGATAATATCAAATCTGGGCTGTAAGCAGGTCTTTAACAAGAGTATTTACTTGCTATACCAAGCTTCACCACAAGATGTCCCCAAAAGCATTTAAAATCTTTTTCGAAACCAGAGCTGGGTTTTTATCCAGTTTTTCTTTTTCATCTTTTTTACAAGTAGATAAGGTGACAGGTCCCCATGAAAGTAGGAATTTTGGGGTCCCCAGATATCAAGGTAATATAAATCCAGTTACTTAATTGTATTTTTCAGAGCTTTATTTTCCCTAAGTAGTCAGACGCCGCCATTTTAGAGGGTGGGAAGAAGACATTCCCTTCCCTCTGTCCTGATGGGGAAAGCGTTTCAGAAGGCTTTTAACAGGAAAATACTTGGGATACAGGAAGGTAAAGTCTCACCCAGTTCTTCTGCAATGTTTTCGAAGTGCTTGGTTGTAATTTTGGCCTCGGCAGGTAGCGGCTTAATGATGGGCCATGTGAATGGCCGATGTTTTCCTTGTCAGACCTTCTGCGATCAATCGGGAGGTCCTCTTCATGCTCGTCGCCTCTCCAAGGCGACTTTCGATCCCTTTCAGGGTCCCCCGGCGGGAGAAAACCGGACGGCAGTGGGAGCGATCGTCCCACTGTCTGCCAGCGCTGTGATCACGAACCGGAAGCTCCCTTTTTTGAGTAATTTCTAGTCCTCACCTCCAGGAACACCTATGATGGATCCAACTTATTGAGTACATAGCTTTGCCAAGCCCTTCCATCCTCTTCAGGTAAAATAGTGACACAGTTAAATCACTGACTCCTTCACACATGACACCATGTTATGAAGTGGCCTGTTTGATTTTTATGTGAATTGGAAACCAGTCATTAAAATTTGGAAACCATGGCTTACAAATTTGTGTTATGGGTGAAACAAGCCCTAGCTAAGACAGGTCTATGTTACCTGTATGAGTGGCTAGGACAAGTTCTTTGTGCAGAATGCCCAGCAAACAAATTTCATGGTGTCTAGACATAAACAATAGGAAAGGAGACTAGATAACTTCAATCCAATATCTCTAGATCTTCCAGAGTATGCCAGAGAGATTTGGGAGACATGTTTTTCATGTGTTCACCCTTGCCCCATTAATGTTGACCAGTTCTTTCTGCCACCACTATGTTTTGCTAGCAGAATATTTCTTCCATTATCTGGGTTGGGGACGAGTTTGTTGGGCTGTGAGGTTTATATTGCTTCTTTTGACCTCGCCAGATCAATTTCACATGTTTCAGATATGTTGAAAAAGACAAGAGAAACCCAGAATTCTAGACATTTGTCTTCCTGTTCTCTTGGAAAATTAGAATTACAAACAGTTCAACATAACCTTAGCCTGAAGCAGATTTCTACTGGTTGGAATGACTACTCACACTTATTTACCTTGTTTTACCTCAAAGCAAACTTAATTAACAAACTGCATGAAATAATCAAGGAGGCCATATTATTATTTTAAACTTGGATTGATTTATTCTATGCCTTGGATAACAATAGCTGCAGTTTCTGATTCCAGAGTGTTTAGAATGCTGAAATCAAAAGCTTTAGAACATGATCCTACAGAGTGCAAAATACTATATAATATCAGCAACACTCCTGAGTACAGCAAAAGAGTACAGCAAAAGAATTACAGCACTGAAACAGAACAATAACAACAACAACATTTGTTCATTTTTTGAAAGAAATCCCTTGATTTGGAAAGGTGCAAAACATGGCATATCGGCATGTGTACTTGAGGAGTTTTTCATAGGAGGATTGACAGGATAGTTTCGTGCGGCCAACGTAACTATCAGATCAGTTGAATTCCATTTGTTCTTTATCTCCGTTTCGTTCTGTCTTCGCCATCAAGGCATGAAGAGAGCAGCAATAAGGAGCTCCCATTTTACAGCATGGGAATTGGTTAGGCTGAAGTCTGAATCTAACACTTTGCACTGCAGTTTCCATAGTTGCTCTGCCTACTTTTCTGGGACTGACATAATATTCTGATTGTGTTTTTAAAAGTTCATGAGGTTGGCTATTGAAATGTCTAGGCCAGGAGTAGGCTTGCTCAGGAATTCTGGGAGTTGAAGTCCACGAGTCATAAAAGAGCCAAGATTGCCTATCCCTGGTCTAGGCCCCCTTCCTTTTCAGTTTGCTTGTATGGTGGTAAATAAATGCATACATTAGGAAATGCCTAAAACCTCCTTTCGCCAATAAAGGAAAATTCAAAACTTGGAGAGCACTTCAACTTTGGAATTTCTTATCATTTGGAGAAGCCGGGGTAGTCACTGCCAACCTCATCCTTCTCAAGATATGGCAATCAAGCATGCCCTTACAGTCAAAGCTCAATCATTTGATATAGTATCTACGGACCCAATGTCCAGATGGTGCAAAATTAGAAGGCTTATTCACGATAAGGTTGGGAATTCTTTCTATATAACTGAAGAAAAGATAGATTAAAATATGTTACAATAAGCAAATCCTAATTAAGTTTTGTGGCTTCTTTCACTGTCGATAAAACAAATTGCTGCATTAAAAAGTGCACTGTTGGATAAAGGTTGAACATCTGGCAATTAGAAGCATTATCAATTCTGTTTCCAGGGACTAAGGCAAGTCAGAAGATATGACATGAAAATGTAAAGGAAGTGCAGCCATCTTGATTTATACTTAGACAAAGACTTCTTGCTCTTTCCAGAAGCTATACATATTTGGAATGTTAAGATTATTTCATTTTCAAGTTTCTGGATATAAATAGAAGCAACTGAACAATTCATCCTGGCTTATTCTTCATCCGATTCATTTAAGAGGGGATCATGAGCATTCTTTTGCTTCCTTAGGCTAAGTCCAATCCCAATTTGTCTGTTGCTCCTTTTATAATTCTTGAAGTAGCTATGGACAATGATAATGATAATTCAATTAGTCCCACCATAGTTCTGTCCAGCTGATTGCTTATGAGGTCATTTGGGGGGGGTAGGAAACTGGGAGGAGCTTTCAACATTCAAAAACCTTCTGCAAACAACCAGGGTAATTGTTCTAGAGGAATGAGACACTATTCTCTCCCCACTATATGAGTAAGAAGGGGGGAAGGGGTATATCAGAAAGGGAAATAACAGGAAGAAAAGGAAAAAGAGAGGAAATGTAAGAGAGAGAGAGAGTGATCCACTCATTTCTCATTCAAGTTCACACCTCAGTGGGACTCTACCCATAGTTTCTCTTTGAAAGATTGTGGCCCTTGATAAACAGGTTCCCCATTCATATGTTATACCTGACACTTGAGAAATCTACTTTGAAGGGAGTTCTGGAGTTGCCTAATGGGATGCTGGAAACATAGGAACTGAGTAGGTACATTCTGGAAGGAAATATCCTCTTCTGGAAGGAAATATCCTCTTATTGAACGTCTCAGACTATGAGGAAACCTTGTCTGATTTTAAAAAAGGAAGCTGTGTCCGACCTGACTTTAAATGGTTCCCACTGAAGGAGTGAAAAGGCAGGTCTCATGGGGAAACCTGCTTCATAAGTCAAGTCCTGCTCAAAAGTAAGAATTTTGCAAGAGCGTCTTCAAAGACCCGCAGCTTTTTAACTCTTAAGGTGATCAGACGTATTTTGATCTTTGCTGTGTTACATCCCCACATAATTAATAGTCTGTCAGGCAATGTAGGGAACTAGTGGGTCCCAACTGGTTAACTCTACAGAAGGCTCGATCCATGCCATGTTCTGCAGCAGGGGTGTCCAACGTTGGCAACTTTAAGACTTATGGACTTCCAACTCCCAAAGTTCCTCAAGCAACCATGGGAGTTGAAGTCCACAATTCTGGGAGTTGAAGTACACAATCTGGGAGTTGCTCAACAAGTCTTAAAGTTGCCTATGTTGGACACCCTGTTCTACAGAGTATGGCTTTGGCGTAGACTGTTGAATGAACTTGAAACCCTTGATTTATTTGATAACCAAGGATTAAGCAAACCAATAAGTGTTTGCAACTTGGTTTCTTTCTTGATCTAAACAATTTGTTCCTGGTCTCTACATGATCGCAACAACTTGTTGTATTGAGGCACCATGCTGTCATTGGACAATCACCAGAGGAAGCAAAGTTTCCTGTATTCCTTCACATACTCTTTTATTCCATTGCAAGTCTCAGCATACCCATTTATTCAAGGACATAATGTTGATAAGGAACATATTATTTCAGAAAACTTACCAATGAACCAGGAAATAATTCATTGCCGTAATGAGGATTGCAAGGGCATAATGCCAGCAAAAGCACATGGTGATGAACATTGTGTTGCTGTGGTCATTCAGATCCCATTCTGGTCCTCCCCATGGTGGATACAACACAAAACCTATCTGGGATTTTTTTAAAAAAAGAGCACTGATGATGTCCTATGCAATTAATAGGCAAGTTGCAAAGATTCTGGGTAAAGCACAAATGCAAAAATTCATTTTAGAAGCTGTCCAGCATAAAAATGATTCATCTACACCTTACTTATGTGTTTTACCCAGTGGTGGGATTCAGCTGGTTCACACCACTTTAGCAGAACCGGTAGCTAATTTTTTTGTTGCCCGGGCCCAGAATGGACTTCCAGAAGCGGCATCCACACAGAGAACCGGTTGTTCATATATTTGAATCTCACCACTGGTTTTACCCCATACTCCTCCTTTCCTACCAATGTCCAGGTTCTTGTGATATTCTAATAAAGAGATTTGAGGGCAGTGAGGCAGTGGTTAAACAGAACTATGATTACATTACTACTCAGAACTTTGTATTACCTAATTTATGATGCCAACAGATAAGATATATATCCTCCCTGGTTTCTGCTGACAGGAGTAAGGAGGAACCTGTGGCTCAAAAGGTGAATACAGTTGCCTAACATCCAAGCTGCCCAGGTTCGAATCCCAGAGGGGTATGACTAGCTGATGAGAGCTAAAGAGCTTGAAATAGCTATACTAGTCTCCCACTAACTCTTTGTATGGCTGATGAGAGCTAATCAACTCGAAATAGCTATCCCAGTCCCCCTTAATTCTTTGTTAGCAATCCAAAAAAACACTCAACACACACACACACACACAGAGACACACACACACACACACACACATGCTTGAGGACATGGCACTGGACTTCCTCTTCAGATCTGCTCTAAGCTGCCCCACACTTATAGAGTAGATTTCAAGGGATTCCCATGAGTTGCCTTGAATTTTAGCTTCTCCATCATGACCAACAGCCAAGCTAATTTAATAAGAAAACTGAAAAGAGAGCCCACCTGCCAAAGCCAGGTTCCTTGCAAGAGAGCCAGGCTGACTGCAAATAAGTCCAAAATCAAGTTGTCATGCACAAAGACTTGTACGAAGCAAGTGGCAACGCCAGCAAAGATGGCCGTCAGGAGCATGGAATGGATGTGTTGATCAAGCATTGGCCGGTGACTGGTATGATATTGGAAGAGGAAGCCTATTAAAATGCAGAAGTTGTTCAAAACTGCTATTGTTTTCAAGAAAGACCTTTGTACCTTAACATTTTTCGTACTAATTTCACTAAACATTACAATTTGCAATAAAAAATAATAATACACATAAAGGAGAATAAAAAGAGAAGTGCAGAAAAAAAATTGGAAAAGGAAGAAAATAAAAATGCTGCAACTAAAAAGAAAAGACTTTCTCCTTAATCACAAGTATCACCATTTTAATAGATCACCTTCTCTTAAAATAGAACAACTGGTCTCTTCTTCCCGTATCTTCCCATATCTCATCTGTCACCTATGAACAAATCCATAAAAACCTCAGCCTCAAACCTGAACATATTCAGTTTATTAAATATCATCAGAGATAACCTATCTATTATAGTCTTGATCAAATAAACCAACTTTCTCTGTAAGCAAAACAGCCTGCCATGTTTTTTTTTTTTAAAAAAAGCATGAATATATCTCTAGCTTTTAATAACAGTGGAAGCCGTTTTTGTGGACAGTTTAGCAAGACAGTAAAAAAAGGACAAACCAAAAATGAAGCAACTGTCAATAAACTGAGTTGCATTACAGGTTTATCCTGTTCTACACAAAATGTGATCCTCAGGGCAAAGTTTAGGGTATACATGCCCTCCAACCACAGGAGAATGACCTGGAATTTTGGAAAGAATGTGGGACAGGGCACTCCTGTTTATGCCATCCCTGTATATCCTATGCATTGACGATGATTTCAGTTAATTCCAATTTAGCTTGGATCAACTCCAATGGGGCAGTGCACCTTTAGCTCTCCTCCCCTCCCAGAAGACTTTGAGTGAAATTTAAATAAGCAACATTAAACTGTGAGAGAGCCAATGTGGCCAAGCCTGCAGGACAGAAACCAGGAGGCTCTGAGTTCTAATCCTGAGGTAGAAACAAAGCCAGCTGGGCAACCTTCAGACAGATACTCTCTTTCAGCCCTCAGAAAAAGAAAGCAAGACCAAACTATTTCTCTCAAATACCTGACTCAAAGGTATTCAATTTTTTTTTAAAAAAAGGTGTGGCTACAAGACAAATTAGTCTCATATCTGGATTAGCTTCTGTTGTTTTATTCAAGAGAACCACAGAGGTGAGATTTTCAGCGTGCATCAAAATAATCAAGGAATACCACATTATTTTCAGATAATCAGATATTTTCAGATAATCAGCCATTTTAGGAAAGAGCAGACGCTGGCTTTAGCCAGTGAGGCATTAATTGCTCTTTGGAGATAAACAAGTTACAGGGATGAAACCTGGGCAATGTAAGACATAGCCAACATTTTCTTGAGCTGAGCTGAGTTAGAATTGGTTCTATCCGTGGGATCTGTAGCTTGCCTGGGAATTGTTTAACTCCCTTCCCATAAATTAGGAAGTCCTATAGGAAGAACTGTGTGTTTTGCATCAAACCAGCATCAGTAGCTTTTAGTGATGGCATTCTGGTCCTTACAACCAATTCATGTTGCTTGTGTCCAGTGTTCAGTGACAGATGTGTAAAAAAAAAGAATGCAGGAAATAACAAAGTGTGAAACAGTTTATAGATGCTTAAGAAAGGCTTGGCTTCCCAAAGTAAATACCTGTGGTTTCTGATTTTCTGCCCCTGAGACTAATGGGATCGGCCTGTGTGAGTTGGCAAACCACATCTTAGTGGTAACCGTTAAAACAGTGGTTCTCAACCTGTGGGTCGGGACCCCATTTGGGGTCGAATGACCGTTTCACAGGGGTCGCCAAACAACGCAGTCCACCATTTTTTTCCCCTTTTCCCTAGCTGTCCTACTCCCTCTTATCGGTGGCCACACCCACTTGGGGGTCACCACAACATGGGGAACTGTATTATGGGGTCACGGCATTAGAAGGGTTGAGAACCACTGCGTTAAAAGACCGTTAAAAGGGAAGTAGCAGCCCTGGTTTCAGCCATCTGCTACATACAATGCAATTCTTATGGATCAGGTGCAACTTCCTTGCACAATGAAAGTGTCTGAACATCCTGCCTTTTTTATATAAATCTGTCTCCCACTCATCTTGGCTTTCCTGCTTCTTCCGCTTTATTTCAACTCATAATGAAGTTCAGATGGATGTTCCAGAAGGATGGATAAGATGTATAACCAAAACCAACATCGGTAACAACTCTCAGGCTCACCAATAACGAGATAAGCTCACAATGACTGAAACAGAATTTTGAAAACCAATTCTGCAGCATCCTTACAATAAAGTGGAATAATGGAAGCCTCACTAATAAAGGAAATACATTTTGAGGTAGTGTTTTGGAAGAGTACTGCATAAAGCACCAGTTTTATTGCTCTCCTGGGGCTCTGCTGCAGGGCAAAAAACAAACAAACAAACAAAGGCAATGCCTTGAGTCTTCAGACACTAATCCATGAAGCTAATGGCCAAATAAAACTATAAGAATAATGAAAAGTCATTAGCCTGCAACATAGGCAGAAGCTAGAGGTAAAATAAAACTACAAACAAAAAATATTTAACAAGCAAAAAACATTGAGCCAGATACAGAATTCTGAATAACGGAGCTGGAAGAGACCTTGGAGGTCTTCTAGTCCAACCCCTGGTTCAAGCTTGTAATCCTATACCAGGAGGCCCCAACCTGTGGGCCACGGCTCACTAATGGGTCGTGATGGGTTTGCAACTCGGCCATATAATGGCCAGCGAGCACATGTGCATGTACATCCTCACTTGCAAGAGCAGCAGGTGAGCACGTGCTTGTGTGCTCCATTTGTGTGAGTAGCAGGCACGCGTGCATGCCGCTCGTAGAAATGGAGCTATGCACGTGTGCTTGCTGGCTGCTTGCACAAACCATCCAGTTTCCCCCCCCCCCCACTACCAGCCAGTCCACAAAGCTGGAAACGTTGGGGAACTCTGTCGTATATCATTTCAGAGGAAATGGTTGTGCAATCTGGAGCACTCTCACTAAATCCACTGATGGTGGTGCAGTGGTTAAGAATGCAGTATTGCAGGGAAACTCTGCCCACAGACTGGAGTTCGATCCTGATGGAGCTCAAGGTTAATTTAGCCTTCCATCCTTTTGAGGTTGGTAAAATAAGGACCCAGATTGTTGGGGGCAAGATGCTGACTCTGTAAACTGCTTAGAGAGGGCTGTAAAGCACTGTAAAGCGGTATATAAGTCTAAATGCTCTTGCTATTGATATTACCAGAGAGGAGGGAGACATCCAAGCTGAGAGAACAGGACAGTTCCTCTGCAGTCACTGAGAAGGTCTTATCTGAGACTCCTGCTTTGTGAGATACATAGAGAGTCTTCTTTAAGGAGTAAACATATAGACACAAATGATTTCCAAGTGATAGGAAACTCCTGTAAACCTTGCTCCTTGAGTGCAACAAAAATGGTACCTAGAACTTCCCAAATACCTGACAAAGATGCTTCCCATGTATTTACTGTCTCTTGGTTTGTGCCTACCTTCCACAAAAAGTGCAATACCAAGCATGAAGCGGTCCAGCCCAACAGGCATTAAGGTTGAGGAATAGGTGACTATATCTGCTGCTCCAGAAATCAAAAAGAATAAATACATGGTGGAATGTTGCCAGTTCATCAACTTCACCCAACTTCGAGGTTGCCCACTGTAGAGATAGAGGTGAGGTCCATCAGGGACAAACTGCTCAGCAAGAATCCCTGTTCAACAGAGACCAAAGTTGATCTGTTAGGGAAAGTTTATCTGAAGGGAAAGTAACACGGTAAATACCAGTGATGTCTGCAGGGTATAGTTAAAAAAAAGTTGAAAAACAGGTAGAGCTTCCATCAACTTTGCTGGCACTACCTGGACTTTTTTTAAAGCACTCCATGAATACCCCCAGCAAAACTAAAGTAGCATTGTATGTAGCAGGAAGTGTTGTGATTTTTCCACTGATAGCCAATACTTTTCTTCTGTTTGATTGCAAAACTTTGTATCCTTTTAGCTAAAACGAAAGCAAGCCTAACCATATAATATATTTTCTTTTGACTTCAAAATGTTAACATGATATAATTTTAAAAACCAACAATAATGACCAGGGGGAAAGGGGGGGGAGAGAAATCCATAAACCGCAGCAAATAACTCCAAGTGCATTGCAGGTGATAAATTTAAGTGGATCTTGAGACAACAGTGCAGTTAAGGATATAATTTGCCTGTTTAATAGGCTAGATATATTCATTAAAACAATTTGATGGTTACCAAAGAATTAAGTGGCAGAATTTATAACATTATTAATTCAACTTGGGATCAAAACTGCATATGGCAAAAGCCCACTTCCTTTGTACAAGTCTTATTTAATTCCTACTTAGTGGTAAATTTAATATCTAATTAGAAATAAACCCTACACAGTTTGACCTCACTGGTTGTGAAATCCAGGATGGTTGATTTTGCACTGTGAAGAGTTATGCAAATAACCTCACTTTTAGTTTGCCCTCCAGATTTTTTTTGATGTAGGTCAGGGGGGTCTCCAACCTTGGCAACTTTAAGACTTGTGAACCTCAATTCTCAGAGTTCCTCAGCCAGAATTCCTGAGAGTTGAAGTCCACAAGTCTTAAAGTTGCCACACAGAGGAGGGTGTGTGTGTCAACTTATTTTCCAAAGCAGCAGAGAGCAGGACAAGAAACAATAGATGGAAACTAATCAAGGAGACTGCTCTTTAGAAGGCCAGATCCCGAAGTTGAAACTCAAATACTTTGGCCACCTAATGAGAAGGAAGGACTCACTGGAGAAGGGCCTAATGCTGGGAAAGATTGAGGGCAATAGAAGAAGGGGACGACAGAGAATGAGATGGCTGGATGGAGTCACTGAAGCAGTAGGTGTGAACTTAAATGGACTCCAGAAGATGGTAGAGGACAGGAAGACCTGGAGGAATGTTGTCCATAGGGTCGCGATGGGTTGGACACGACTTCGCAATTAACAACAACAACAACAACAACAGATCAAGGAGAGAAGCAACCTGGAATTGAGGAGAAACTTCCTAACAGTGAGAACAATTACTCACTGGAACAGCTTGCTTCATGTGGGTGCTTCATCACTGGAGGTTTTTAAGAAGAGACTGGATAGTCACTTGTCTGAAATAATATAGGGTCTCCTGCTTGATCAGGGGGTTGGACTAGAAGACCCCCAAGGTCCCTTCGATTCTGATTCTAAAGTTGCCAAGGTTGGAGATGTAGGTGATTAGTTTGCTTAAAAGGCACACATTCAAAGCAAGGAGAGCGATAAGCAGCTACCCTCAAATTTCTTAAGTCATATTCTGAGTCTTACCTATCAATGTTAAGCCCACTTTGACTGCCCCTTCAATGACCTCCACTTGTTTGAAGTTCCACTGTATGTGACCGTTCTTCTTCGGTGTCCTGCTGATATGTTTTATCGAGTATTTCACTGACCACCAGAGGCCAAACAATAGAAAGAAACTCCCTGGAAGAATGTGGCCCTTAAGATTTGCCATTCTGGTCCCCTCAGCTCCTGGAGCAAAGAATATCCTGATGTTAGAATCATTCAGAGAAGTGTAAATTGGGACCCCAGTACGCTGACTCCAGTACAACTGAGACTGTGAGTCCAGTACAACAATTTATGAAGAAATAATAGCTTCTGGAAAGAACAGGGACTGGAATAACTGGTTTCTGTTTGGAATTAATTCTTCACTTTCAGGTTTGAAGTTCTGAACTTATTACCATCTCAGTTTGCAATTCCTCTACCAGTTTGAAATGTGTCTTTTCTTTTCTTCTTCTTTTTGAGTCAGACCAGGTCAAGAATCCAAGGAATCTCCCATATTTTGGAAGTCTATATCAATATAGACTTTGGAAAGCCCTTCCACAATCTTTACTGCCCCCTGTTGAATTTGTTCTGAGTCTTGAGTTCTTTTAACTATACCCAATTTAGGGGATCCAAAGATCCAATAATACAAGTCTCCAGACAATACACACAAGCAAGCATTCACAGCTATTACTCACCACTCCACTTTCCCCCACTGCCACTCCTACTAATACTACTCTTACTCCTATTACTCTTTCCAGCTACTTCAAGCTGTTTTATTTCCAAACACTTCCTTTCTTCTTTTCCTTTCTTCCTTCCTTCCTTCCTTCCTTCCTTCCTTCCTTCCTTCCTTCCTTCCTTCCTTTCTTTCTTTCTTTCTTTCTTTCTTTCTTTCTTTCTTTCTTTCTTTCTTTCTTTCTCTATTTCTCTATTTCTTTCTTTTTTCTTTCTCTTTTTCTTTTTTCTTTCTCTCTTTTCTATTTTTCTTTCTTTTTTCTTTCTTTCTTTTTCTCTCTTTCTTTCTCTCTCTTTTCTTTCTTTTTTCTTTCTCTCTGTCTCTTTCTTTCTCTTTTTCTTTTTTTCCCTTTCTTTCTTTCTTTCTTTCTTTCTTTCTTTCTTTCTTTCTTTCTTTCTTTTTCCCCTCTTTCTTTCTTTCTTTCTTTCTTTCTTTCTTTCTTTCTTTCTTTTTTTCTTTCTTTCTTTCTTTCCAGCAGAACAGGCCCTGCCATTTACTAAACAACCTACTTTCTCACAGTCTTCCACCATTCTGTCAAGGCCAGAGCAAAATTCCTCTACATATGACTGTTTTACCACTGATTCCTTAGGAAATCCTCTCTGTATCACAGAAAGGCAAGCTTCTGGTCATGACATCCACCAGTCTTTGCTTATGTGCAAAAGAATACAATGCTCCTCTCAAAGTCCACGTAGAGATTTCTTTCAAAGCAAATATATTTATGTTTTCAGCTTTTAACCTTGCATCAAACTAATCGTAAGAAACTTGCTCCTATTTTTTTTATTTTCGTAGGCAACAAAGTCACTTAAAACATAAGATGTATTTATACAATGTCCTTCTTCCTTATCTTTAATTTCTATTTTATCTTTTATTCATTCTGTTCCACATGAACCATATCCAATTGATTGTCCAGTAATTTTTCAATTCCCTCAAAATTTGGTTCCAGGGATTATAACAAATATTTAAAATAGAAATTCCATCGCTAAGGATATAAGGTGTTTGTTTTTCATCATATTGAATACCACAATCTAGGCCAAAAAGAATAATCAAAGTTTATGATTTCTCAGTGAAAGTAAAGAGGAAGGTCATACATAGAGAGCTCTTCTGATATTTGTTGTTACATCCAAACGAATCAGCACCACGCTTAAGTAAAAACACAGAAATATTCACACAAAAGGCTAAAGGAAATTTGTTAAAGGGAACAAAAGGAGAAATTTCCTGACAGTGAAAACAGCTTGACTTCCAATGTACCACCTTGGACAATCTCTTAATAATTTACTTTTTATTGACACCGCTGATACGGTCTAAGTAGTTTTGTGACTGCAATTCAATTGTTCAGATTAGCAACAGTGTACAATTTCTGTGGGCATGGCAACAATCTCTGTTCAGGCTGTAGTTAGATGCACTTCCCTTTTAATTTTGAAATAAATCCTTTTGGATATTCTTCCCCAAAATAATGGCTTGGAGACTGAGGATAAGAGGTTCTTGCGTTAGGAAAATGTTTGTAGTAAGACGAATACACAATTTAATCCTTTTAGGCCTGGGTACGATCTCCAGTCTTTCAAAAATTAAGTTCAATATTTCTGTGAGATCAGCTTTGGTCAAGATGAATTCCTACGACCATTTCCAGTTCTATAATATTTGAATCTAAGATAGAGGGGTCTCATAAGATCTGACAGAAAGCATTTGAGAGTATCTGACAACATTATTAAAAGTGAGCTAAGATGGTCTCAGGAGGTTTCTAGTGATGGACTGAGGTAACCTGTTGCTTCTCCTAGTCAAGGAGAGTAGGAGAATCAGACCTGCCTGTCTTGGAGTTGATTCTGAAAAAGAGTCACAGATCGGACTTTGCTCTATAGAAAAAGGCTTGGTGTCATCAACTTCCCCAGTCATCTGCTGTCAAGATGGGACTGGGCGATCTGGTAAAGATTTTAACGCAGCCTATCTGGCTCTATTGGCCTGAGAAAGACTGTGCTGTTGAGGATGTAATCATTTCTCTCTAAGAAAGAATACAAAATAAGATTTTTTTCAGCTGCATGGGAACTGCTGAAACTTCTTTTAAGTGAGGTGTAGGCATACAATCCGCCTTGCCTACCCTACAAGGTTCCATCCAAACCTGGCATTTATCTGACATAATATATATATATTAGTAGTGAAAATAAAAACGTGATTCCTGGGTGAATTCATAACCAATAAAAACGTGAGATGATATTTAACTAGTTCAACCCATGTTCACCTCAAAGTCAAAGGTCTCAGCAGAACTTGCTTAAATTAGCACAAATGTTTATCTCTTTTCAGGTTTATCAATAAAATTGTTTCAAGAAAAATCATATATATATATATGATATATATATGAATAATATCTTTATTTGTTTATGAATTCCAAGGGTTAGGAGGAGGGTTAGAATTGGAGAAGGAGAAGGAGAAGGAGAAGGAGAAAGAGGAGATGAAGAAGGATAATAATAATAATAATAATAATAATAAGAAAATAGTTTTTACCTAGTTCAAGTGGTTTAATTCCTACTTCTAGCTGTTGTAGAACTCAAAGTCTACCTCTTTGCTCAGCAGAAAGACTGCTAGTGGCAAAGCTTTGGAGTCTTTGACGAAGAACAGCGTATAACATGATTCATGCCACACCCACTATAGAAACGAAAGGACATACTTTAACTGCCATGGTAGATTTCAAAGTCTATCTGTTCAGAGTTGCTGGTGGCAAATTTGTTTAAAATCAAGGTGAAGGAGCAACAGGATAACAAGCACTCTGGGCCACACTTTCTGGAAAGAGAGAGAAAGAGAGAGAACAAGAGACAGGTGGATTAGAACATCAGATCTCTCTTATGAAAAAGCTATCACCAAAGTATGAATGGATTTCTTGCTAATTTTACAATCAGGGGTAAAGGAACCTGCATACATTTCCTTTCTTCTATTCAGCCAGCTCTTATCAGCCATAATTTTCTTTCAGGTTCATATGCCTGGGTGAAGATGCCTAGTCATCTCGGTTTAATAATCCCAGGATAAGAATCAGCTAACTTCCTTCTTCTCATTGGGTGTTCGCTTGTTTCCCATACAGTTTCATTTCACAAGTATTCCAACTTGGGTTACCAAATCCCCAAAGTTTTGCAGGGAAACTGTTCAACGAACCAGCACTGAGTCACCAGATTTGTATCTGGAAACGTTGCAGGATGTTTCCTTTCCTTTGTGGGAGTGGCAGTTTAGAGGTTGACTATGGGCTCAGTCACTGTCAATATTTAGTAACTTAGAACTAAGGAGAAACTTCCTGACAGTTAGAACAATTAACCAGTGGAACAACCTGCCTCCAGAAGCAGTGAATGCTCCAACACTGGAAGTTTTTAAGAAGAGACTGGACAGCCATTTGTCTGAAATGGTGTAGGGTTTCCTTTCTGAGCAGGGGGTTGGTCTCAATGACCTCCAAGGTTCCTTCCAACTTTTATTACTATTACTATTATTATCATCATCATTATTATTATTATTTTGCAAAGGTTGCTAGGAATTACAGTTTGAAGTAGTTGCAGCCACATAAAAAGACTGTAGTAAAGAGCCATTGTCTTCTATTTCCACCTCCTTGGCTAGGCTTTTTGAAAATTATGGAAACTGTAATCCAACACATTAGTAGGGCAACTTTTCAGGGGTTGCAAAATTCTAGATAACCTTTAGATGGCAAAAGAGACATACAAAAGCTAAACTTTCCCAGCCATCTAGTGATTCTCTAGAATTTTGCATCCAAAAATATGGTAGTCCTAATCTCTGAAGGGGTTTTCATGGCAAAGATACTGGAGTGGGTTGCCATTTCCTTCTCCACTGGAGAAGAGCCTAATGCTAGGAAAGATGGAGGGCAATAGAAGAAGGGGACGACAGAGAATGAGGTGGCTGGATGGAGTCACTGAAGCAATAGGCGTGAGCTTAAATGGACTCCAGAAGATGGTAAAGAACAGGAAGACCTAGAGGAACGTTGTCCATGGGGTCACGATGGGTCGGACACGACTTCACAACTAACAATAATCTCTGAAGGACATTATATAAGGGAAGACTGCCTTATATGTGTGGAGATGATTCCTTAAGGAATAAAACACACATCCCCTCAGCTCCCTCTAAATGGTCCATCACTGGTTTAGCTTGGGAAATTATGTCTCCATTCCTAAAATACTACATACTATTCCATCCATAAAAACTGTTTCCATTCAGGAAAATATACAATTGAGTGAATGGCTAAAAGCCCAAACTGGCTATACAAAGAACTGAAATAGACAGAAACTAATCCCCCAGGCAAAACAAAATTAAAAAGATAAAAACACCTATACCCATACTTCCTCCAGACACAAGAACCATCAACTCCCTTTTTGCATCTATCTTTACACAAAAAGAAAAAGCAGTCCAATTTATCAAAAACAGTTCCGTAAAAAACAGATTAGGAATACAAATTAAAATAGGCAAGGAAATGGTAAGTGAACCCCTGTCCACTCTAGATGAGTTCAAATCACCAGGACCAGATGGATTACACCTGAAGGTTCTGAAGGAATTGGCAAATGTGATCTCAGAACCACTGAACTATATTTTTCAAAGATCCTGGAGCATCAGGGAGCTACCAGATGATTGGAAAAGAGCTGATGTAGTTCCCATCTTCAAAAAAGAAAAAAAAATGGATCTGGGAAACTACAGACCTATCAGCCTGTCATCAATAACTGGAAAGGTTCAGGAAAAGATAATCAAGCAATGAATCTCCCAACACCTAAAGGGAAACAAAATTATAACCAAAAGCCAACATGGGTTTGTCAAAAACAGATCACGCCAAACAAATCTTATTGGATTCTTTGACAAAGTAACAAAATTAGTGGACCAGAGAAATTAATTTCTATTCTATTCTATTCTATTCTATTCTATTCTATTCTATTCTATTCTATTCTATTCTATTCTATTCTATTCTATTCTATTCTACTCTATCTACTCTACTCTACTCTACTCTATTCTACTCTACTCTACTCTACTCTACTCTACTCTACTCTACTCTACTCTACTCTACTCTATTCTATTCTATTCTATTCTATTCTATTCTATTCTATTCTATTCTATTCTATTCTATTCTATTTGCTGTGGATATAATTTACTTGGATTTCAATAAGGCATTTGATAAAGTGGACCACAACCTACTACTTCATATGATAGAAAAATGTGGATTAGACAGCTTCATCACCAGATGGATTCATAAGTGGCTGGCCAGCCACACTCAACATGTAGTCCTCAATGGAACTGCATCTACATGGAGGGCAGTATGCATTCAAGTACCCCAAGGCAAAGGGGAGACCCCAGATGCTTTCTGGGACCATCTTTTAGAGGCAGGGGTTGCCTATACCCACTTAGACATTAACAACCTCAAAGACCAGTGGATTTTGGCTTCTTCATTTGTCGATCAATCTGCCAGGAAAAAGTTCCATAGGATTGTTTCCAACTGATCATCTTTGTAAATTCCAGTGTTGTGCAGGATAGTCAACTTTGTGTTTGACTAGAAGAGAAAGCTGAAGGAAGAAGATAAGGAAAGAAAGGAGGCAGAAAAGGAAAGAGAAGGAAAGGAGAAGGAGGGCAGAAAGGAAAGAGAAGTCAAAAATGTTTGTGGCTCTACGGATGGATTGGCAGTGCCCGAATCACTGGATTCCCAAACAGCTGATGATGTTACCTTGTTAGGTAATGAAATGTGTGCAAAAAAACCCCAACCCAACTCAAAGAGCACCAGGGACCTGATATGCAGGTTCTGAGGTTTTGCTGGTTAAAGAAATACAAGAAACCAGAAAGTGCCTTTAAGTTTTATGTTTTTATTTATTTTATTTATGACAAGAAATCCTTGTATTTATTCTATATAATTACATAAGCAACCCATTCAGCAAAGCTGACACACATAAGATAAAGATTACACCCAGTAAGTCTGGCACACTGTAGACAAGAAGGGAGAAAGCAGAAGTAGATAAACATGTTCCCATTTGGGTGTTCGCTAAAGATATTGTTTGTTCTTGGGCGGGTTAGGACATTGGGTGTTGTCCTTGCTGTTCTTTTCTGACCCTGCATCCAGGACTCTGCAAGTAACCAAAGAGAGAGGGGCCATTATATGTATTCACAATTAATACTGTCGCCTAATTCCTGGTCATCAGACCCCTCAAGGTACAAATTCTGTTTTTTCCCTAAGTTGCTGGAATTGGGTATGTCTAGGTTAATGAAGAGAAAGACGAGGGGGGACATGATAGCAGCATTCCAATATCTCAGGGGCTGCCACAAAGAAGAGGGAGTCAAGCTATTCTCCAAAGCACCTGAGGGCAGGACAAGGAGCAACAGATGGAAACTAATCAAGGAGAGAAGCAACCTAGAACTAAGGAGAAACTTCCTGACCGTTAGAACAATTAACCAGTGGAACAACCTGCCTCCAGAAGCAGTGAATGCTCCTACACTGGAAGTTTTTAAGAAGAGACTGGACAGCCATGTCCGAAATGGTGTAGGGTTTCTGCCTGAGCAGGGGGTTGGACTTAATGACCTCCAAGGTCCTTTCCAACTTTATTATTATTATTATTATTATTATTATTATTATTATTATTATTATTATTATTGATCATCACACAGTCAACCAGATGTTCAGACTGGATTTGGCATTTTGTCTACCTATCGAGTCCTTACCCAGGACCTGGGATAGGCAGATGTGGATGTTTGATGGTATTACAGGTATCGTCGCAGGATGGAAGCAGTTGCTAGTAAGGCCACCTTTTGCAATTGACTAATAGCGAATTTGTCAATGTCAATGGTGTACAAATGGTGCTCCAGTTGTTTTGGGATTGCACCCAAGGAGTCCATTACTATTGGTACTACCCTTGCTTACTTTTGCCACAGTCTTTCTATTTCTATTTGTAGGTCTTTGTATTTTGTTATCTTCTCCAGTTCTTTCTCGTCTATTCTGCTGTCTCCAGGCACTGCCACATCCACTATCCAAACTTTTTTGTCTTTCTGTTAAGTCTGGGGTGTTATGTTGCAGGTGCTTGTCTGTTCGAATTCTGAAGTCCCAGAGCAGTTTAATTTTATCATTTTCTATGACTTTCTCTATTTTATGATCCCACCAGTTTTTGCTTACAGGCAAATGATATTTTTTGCAGATCTTTCAATGCACCATTGTTGTTACTTTGTCATGCCACTGCTTGTAGTCAGTCTGTGCAATCTTCTTGCAACAGCTTACCAGGTGGTCCACTGTTATTATTATGGATCATCGCACAGTCAGCCAGATGTTCAGACTGGATTTGGCATTTTGTCTACCTATCGAGTCCTTACCCAGGACCTGGGATAGGCAGATGTGGATGGTTTTTTAATTATTATTATTATTATTATTATTATTATTATTATTATTATTACGACAATCGTTGCCTGAGGAAGCCACTGAATTTCTCTCTACTGCTATTAATTCAGGACTTTTTGTAGGGTTAGGGTTGGGGTTAAGGTTAGGGTTGGGGTTTTTTAAATTAACATTCTTAATATTTAGCAAACAGCATATTGTTTGGGTACATATATTTAAAAAACAATAAGTAAGTTAATTTCTATATTATCATAATCAGTATGTTAATTAATTGCTCAATGATCTTCTTCTTACTAGTATATATTCAATGTTATGTAGTACACATCATGTTCCTTTCCTTGTAACTCGCTTGTCTAGCCATTGGTAAAAATTATCCCATATTCTAAAGTACACTGAGTAATAATAATAATAATAATAATAATAATAATAATAATAATAATAATAAAAGTTGGAAGGGACTCTGTGCCACTAGCAAGGAGAAGTTACTGTTTTGTTAAAGACCTTAGAATTGAGTGGAAAAAAGAGTAAGTGTTCTGTTACTGAGAATTTACAACAATATTTCTCAACCGTAGCACTTTAAGCTGTGTGGACTTCAACTCCCAGAATTCCCCAGCCAACACTGCATGGGAGTTGGTTTACACAGCTGATAGTTGCTAAAGTTGCAAAGCTCTGCTTTGCACAGATTTTTTTAAAGCAATAAACTAGTAGAGAGTTATGTGTGTAAAATAAGCACCACCTAATGGTTAGAAGAAAAAGCAAGCTTTCAGCCTTTGCATTTTTAAATTATTTTTTTGGTTTTGCAGACAGGGGCAGCAGCATCTGACCGACGCTGAGCTGCAAATCTAAGCAAAATGTAATCCAATTATTATTTTCATGGGCATCAGACAGGGTAATAAACTAGATGGGCAAGTTGAACAAAAAAACATCCTTTTCTGGGAATATTCAGGTTTGCATCTTCCTGAAATCTTAAGAGAATCCTTTGGAGAAAAGTCTCCTATCTACGTCAGACATGTCAAACACAAGGCCCGGGGACCGGATGCGGCCCGCGAAGTGGTTTCATGTGGCCCGCGAAGCCGTCCTGGAAACAGTGAGGGAACGGCCCCCGCTGCCTTAGCCCTGGCCCAGGCCAGCCGGGGGCCAATGTACAATTTTGTGGTGGTCATCTATGCTGAAACGCATTCAGTCTTAGCTCCACAAGGCCATCTGGAAACAGCGAAGAACCAGCCCCTGCCATATCAGCCCCGCCCCTGGGTGCATGCTGGGGAGGTGTCACCCTTTGTGAGGAATGAAGAAATGCACCATCGCCTGGAAGTGGCCAGCAAATGGCCCTTGCCTACTTCACATATCCGGCTTGATGGGCTCTGGGGGAAGGGTTTTGGCAGACAGTGGGCGCTCTCCTCACAGCACTAAGAGGCTGAGCCGGGTGGCACGAAACCGATGAGAAGTGCAATGCTGCCTAGCCCCCAGCCTGCCCAGTTTCAGCAGACAGCAAGGTGCAAAGCTGGCGAGCTTTGCACCTCCTGGCTCAACTTCTCGGTGCTGTGAGGAGAGTGCCCGCTGCCTGCCGAAACCGGGCAGGCTGGGGGCTGGGCAGAATCGTGCTTCTTTTGGGATTTGGGCCGCCTGGTTCAGCCTCTCAGTGTTGTGAGGAGAGCGCCCTACTGCCTGCCGAGACCGGGCAGTCTGGGGGCTGGGCGGCGTCGCGCTTCTTTTCAGATTTGTGCCGGCTGGATCAGCCTCTTGGCACTGTGAGGAGGGCGCCTTGCTGCCTGCTGAAACTGGGCAGGCTGGGGGCTGGGCAGCATTGCACAGGTAACATTGACTCTCACACTTCTCATGGCATCCCCTCCCCCAGAGCCCACCAAGCCAGATATGTGAAGTAGGTGAGGGCCATGTGCTGGCCACTTCCAGGCGATGGTGCATTTCTTCATTCCTCATGAAGGGTGACATCTCCCCAGCTGCGTTTCTTGCCTGTCTTTCTCCCTCCCTCATCTCAAATATTTTCCCACCACTCTGTACTTAGGAAGGAACGAAGAAAAGGAGGAAAGAAGGAGATGGAGGGTCTGATGGAACTCCTGCCTTAGTCCTGCCCTGCTGCCCTTTCACCATCCCCTTGCCCCCTCCTCCTGGCCTACCCTGGGGGTCTCCCATCCTATTGCTAAGGAAGCTTTGGCTACAAAGCTGGGTCTCCTGCCATGGAGATGGAATGGGCCTCCCTCTGACTTTGCCCTCGTACCCATCATGAGCAACCTGGGTAAGGAGAGCAAGCACAGCAGCAGCAGCCTTGAGGAGGAGGTAAGTGCAGCTGGGCGCCCCCTTGGGGAAGTGGGGCTGGGCTTGGTGCCACGGGTGCTCGAGGGCCAGGCTGGGCATTTGACCTCTGCTGTCCAGGGCTCCGGGAAACCCGCACCACCATCCAGCCCTCCCGCATGACCTGAGAGGAATGGTGAGGCTCCTCCAGTGGACCGTGCCTTGGCACTTGCCCCGGTCCCACCCCCTTCTGCCAGAGACCCTCAGATCTGTCCCACTCCTGCCCAGGCCCCCACAGGCACCATTGATGCAAACAATGTAGAGCTGGCCATGCCCACCCAGTAGGCCACATCCATTCCCTCCATGCCCACCCAGTAGGCCACACCCACCCTGGCCACACCCACCCAGCCCCCCAAGGGAAACCGCAATGCTGATGCGGCCCTCAATGAAATTGAGTTTGACACCCCTGATCTACGAAGTCTTAACATTTAAGAAAACTTTGGATGCTAATTGGTATTGTGACACTAGGGGGCGCTTTATATTCACAAATGTTTCCAGGAGTGTGAGGAACACATGGAAACTGACTGGAGGCAGTTACTGTAGTAGATTTCTAGAACAGGATACAAGATAACAGATTTGAAAGGGACCTTGGAGGTCTTCTAGTCGTCCAACCCCTTGCTCAGGCAGGAGATCCTGTAAGATCTGCTATAACCTTATAAACCTGTTAAGATCTCAGCTCCATCCCATTTACACATTGCTCCCGTTTTATCTGGCTCTTGGCTGCTTTAAACGTTTTAATTCTTAAGGGTTAATTCTCAATAGTTTAACCTTTTCATGTTCCCATCATTTTATGTTACGCTTGTATATTGTTGTAAGCCACTCAGAGTCACTTTACAGCAGAGCGCGCCTGGCTGAGGAATTCTGGGAGTTGAAGTCCACAAGTCATAAAAGGGCCAAGTTTGAAGACCCCTGCTTTACAGTATGATGGGCAGCGTGTAAATTTAATAAATAAATAAATAAATTTTGCCCGTGGGAAAAAAAATAGAGGATTCATGTTGCAATTTCAAAATGACATTCGGGGGAGGTGTTTCTTTCCCCCCAAATGGGGGCATGGAAGGCAGCTGGCTGATGTGGGGCCAATCCCCAGGAGACGAGGAATTTTAGATCTGCTTTAGCCATGAAAGCCGACTGGGTGACTAGATCAGTCACTCTCAGCTCAAGGATAGGTGGTTGTGGGAAAAACAGGAGGAGAAAGGAATATTGTATGTGTTCACTGCCTTGATTTATTTCTGATTTCTATAAACAAACAAAAGTTGGTGAAAAAGATAGTTACTGGGCTGGGTTCATGCCACGAAGAAGGGCAAATGAGCAAATTCTTTAGTCTGTGTGCTGAATCAGTCACTGACTGTTAATTAAACTGGATTTTATTATAGACTGGCTGGTAAAGAGCCTCCAGGATTTCAGGATAGAGATTTTTCCAGTCTTCCTCAAAAAAGGGGCATGCTGGAGCCCAAAGATTGCTCCTCTGTCACATGGACCCCCAGTGCGATCCACACTGGCACTACCGCTTCCCATTGCT